GTTTATCCTGTTATTTATTTATGTTTGTCTGTCTGTCTGTCTGTCTGTCTGTCTGTGTATTTATTTATTTATTTATATATTGTCTACACTCTCTTATATACCACTATAGAAGTTTATCCTGTTATTTATTTATGTTTGTCTGTCTATTTATTTATTTACTTATTTATTTATATCTATCTATCTATCTATCTATCTATCTATCTATCTATCTATCTATCTATCGTCTACAATCTCTTATGTAACTCTATAGTAGTTTACATGCTCAAAGGTATTTATAGTTACTATATATTTATTTATTTATTTTTCTACACGCTCCCATTTACCTGTATATAACTTTACTCTCTTAAAGTTTATTTATAGTTACTTATTTATTTATTTACTGTGTGTCTGTCTGTCTGTCTGTCTGTCTATCTATCTATCTATCTGTCTGTCTGTTCTCCTACATGTACCTAGAAGTTTACCCTGGTAATGTTCACTTGCAGTTACTTTCTTATTTAAAAGTGTTTAGTGTATTGAATGTAGTGTATTATTAAATGTACACTATATGGACAAAAGTCTTGGGACACCTGATCATTACACCAGCAGGGACTTTAATGACATCGCACTCTAAATACAAAGACATTAAAATGGAGTTTGTCCCCCCTTTGCAGCTATAACAGATTTCACTCTTCGAAAGGCTTTCCACAAGATTTTGGAGTGTTTCTGTGTGAATTTTTGCCCACTCATCCAGTAGAGAATTTGTGAGATTGGGCACTGATTCTGGATGAGAAGGCCCAGCTCACGATTTCCGTTCCAGTTTATCCCAAAAATGTTCGAACTCATCCAACCATTATGGACCTTGCCTTGCGCACTGGGGCACAGACGCAGAAAAGGGCCTTCCCCAAATTGTTCTCCGAAATTTTTAATTTTAATCCTAATTGCTCAAGCATTAAGATTTCCCTTCACTGGAAGTAAGCATAGCCCAACCCCTGAAAAACAGCCCCATACCACTATCCCTCCTCCACAAAACTCTACAGGTTGCACAATGCAGTCAGGCAGGTAACGTTCTCCTGGCATCTGCCAAACTCGCTCATCAGATTGCCAAACAGAGAACCGTGATTCATCATTCAGCAGAACACACACTTGATAATGTGAGACTTGCATGCAGCTACTCAGCCATGGAAACTCATTCCATGAAGCTCCCGCCACACACTTTTTTTTGTTGATATTAATGTCAGTGGAAGTGTGTAACTCTTCAGATGGAATCTTTTATTATTACTAAATGTTCTATATAAAGCGTGTATGTTTACAGTTTTAATTTCACACATATTTAAAAAAAAAAAATACAGTACTTGTGAACTGCTAAATTTCTATCTATTATTCTAGGAGAAATTGCAGTCGGTTCAGGTTTGGCTTCAAGAGTCTTAAACACATGAAATCTTCTCAGTACAAATATCACAAACTGAAATATATTCAACACTAATATTTCTTAATGAATGAAAGAAAAACACAAAAACTCAAATCTCACTTGAAATGTAAGCCATAGTAGAGGGAATATCATAGCTATACTTTACCACCGGACAGCTTGTTTTCATCAAGGAATAAGAATGTCTAGATTACTTTTTTTGAAAAGGCCTCTATGATCAGCATTAGATATCAATTGAGAATGTCCACATATCTGCAGATGTCCGTTGTGTAATGCCTTCCTGCATTTAATCATTAGAGGTGTTTTCGTCCTGCTCTACATCTCTGGTGAAGGTGGGAACAGGGCCTGTGGGAGTGTTGGTGAGAATGCAGTAGTCTTGTTTGAAACAGACAGGCACTGGGTTAATGATAACCGGTGCTTCGAAAGCCTCGCAGTCCTCAAGACCCTCGAGACTAAGAGCCGAGTCCTTCAGAGACAGAACATTCCCACTCAGACACGCCACGTTCAGAGACTGCATGAGGTTGCCCACTTTATCAGGCAACTCTTCGCAGAACAAAGAAAAATCCTCACACAAGATGCTCGTCTCGCTACATGTATCAGGCATTTGGCACGGGGCCCAGACCTCAGTTGTGGGGCCCACATAGGGTGTGTGGCATTGTGCTGTGGGATACATGCCCGTTTTCTCAACCTGATCCTGTAGTGTGGTTATGACCTCGGAAATCTTGTCAATTTTTGAAAAGTCTTCTATAACGTGAAAATCTTGTAAAGGACTTTTTGCCAAAACCCAACACTGATGAAAAAAAGGAGGACAAACATTAATAGATTATGAATATATGGACATATCTTACACAATCACATTATATATTATTACAATTTAAACAGTTATTTTCTATAAGAATAAAATGTAATTTATTCCTGTGATGCAAAGCTACATTTTCAGCATCATAACTCAATGCTGATTTGCTTCTCAATAAATATTTCTTCTTATTATTAATGTTGAAAACAGTTGTGCTGCTTAATATTTTTTGTAAGCGAGTTTTTAAATAAATGAATACTTTTATTCACCAAGGATGAATTAAATGGATTAAAAGTGCTAGTAAAGACATTTATAATTTCTATTTCAAATAAACGCTGTTTTTTTTTCCCATTCAACAAAGAATCAAGGAATCATGGGGAAAAAAAATTTAACATGGTTTCTAGAAAAACATTAAGCAGCTGTTTATTGATAATAATAACAACCATTAATAATTGAGCACCAATAATAACTAATAATAATAACTGAGCAACAAATCAGCATATTAGAATGATCTCTGAAGGATCATGCGACCCTGAAACATATAATTATAACATATAACATATAAAGTACCCACTGTCTCACAAGCCCTTTCTAGTCATTTCATGAAACCCCAAAGGATTCAAACCCTCAGCTATGAAACCCTAGTCTATTTGAAGTGTGAAATATTACCTGAAAATTGCCTTGGTGATTTTGATAAAGTGGCTGGAAGTACGGTGCCGGTGTTGGCACCCATGAAATTTCTTTCATCTTAAATCTGTAATGCATAAATGTCGCATATTATTTCCAGTCATCTTTCCTGTGACACCTGAGTTGCTCACTAGCTCTGTATATTTTTCCCATGTACTGCATACTTGCGCAATAAATATACTGCAATAGCAGGTGTATGATAAACAGTTACCTTGCAGCAGGAATGGACATAAGCAGAATTAAAAGTCCAACCATTGAAAACATTCCAATGGCAATCTTGCTGACTTGATTGGGCTCATCTAGAGATTTAAATAATCAACACAGAAAACATGGATGGATTGACTTTGATTTTACATTAACAGATCGATTAAAAATGAGTGTGGAAATGTAAAGCAGGAGCTACCACAGTATTCACCTCTGTATGCTGTTTTCCATTCAACTGCACTGCTCCAGTCACTCCACATCCCGCTGTAGACATTTCCATCCTCTATCCTACTCTTCACCATCACAGTGTATGTAGTGCCCGGATCAAGCTTCATTTCATCAATCTGAATCATATCTTTGCCTGCTTGAACACTGACCGCCTTAAAAAATAACATTAATGTTAAGCCATTCATAGAAGACATTCATTTTCAAAACAGGAATACACAGATATATGGTGTTATATATGTTTCTTTGATGTGGGTGAAACAGAGGATGTTCTCTGAGAACATGCCCTATGATTGGCGGACATTCATAATTGAATCATCAGTATAATCAATCTTACACTTGCATGATTTCCATCTTTGTAGTACTTGAATTCGTATAAGATGGGTAGAACTCCTTTGTAAATATGATTTTCATATCCGTTCTTCCAAAAGAAACGATACGTTCCATTTGCATATTGTAACGTCAGATTAAATGGAGTTTTTGGTTTAACTGAGAAAAGAAAGAAGCTTCATGTATGTGAAATATAAACTGTGTAAATCACTGTTTTCTTTGATTACATAAAAATCGACTCACTATTTTTTGCTGGCTCAAAAGAAGCATCCAACAGAGTTGAATTCTCAGTTCCATTTTCCAAATAATAAAGTGAATATTCATCGATATCCATGAAGCCTGATACTGTTAAACTGCAGATTTGATCTTCACGTACTCTCTGCAGTTGGCAGCCATATTTCCTGTGTGTGAAAATCCATGTTTGGGAAAATCTTGCACTGTACTGGTAATGCATACTACCATTTGCACATGAAAACTTAAAAACAGTGTATGAATTACTAAACAGACAATGGCAATGAATAACTGGAGCATACTTACTGGTCAGTGCCGATCAAATAAGCTTCCAGCCGGTATGATATGTTTCTAGTGGATGTGACTGGTAGTTTTAAAGAGCAGCTGATGGTATGGTAGTAATCTGTCACACAGATGTGCCCTTTTGTCAGAGATGAAATAGCGAAATGGTCATACATTTTTGGAAGTGCATGCAAAATCCATTGTGACTGAAACTGCAGATTTAAGAAACATGTTTTACCCTGTAAAGTCGCTTTAAGCTGCACTGAAAAAGCCAAGAAAATGCAGAAAATCCCAGTGCGGTTCATCATTCTTGTACAGGACTCAATGAACACACTCTTCCAGATGTCAACTTAGCCAGAACTCACACAAGTCAGCACATGCAACTGACAAGATGTGACTCATATTAAGTGTTCAGCATAAATGCAACAATTGATTCATTTAGCAGACGTTAAAGGCGACTAACGAATGAGGAACACAAGCGATTCATCTTAAACTGATAAAGAAATACCTTCAGTTTAAAAGCCACTCGGGTTCCATTCATTTAAATCCAAGTGATTAAAAATATGGTGCTCATTCTGAACATTTGTTTGTAATAAAAATAAAAAGTCAAAGTCAAAACACCCAAGATGCTTAAAAATCAAGTATGTATCATACATTTCTGTATTTACGCTCAAATTTGAAAGAAGACATATAGCAACTCACCAAATTTATTCGGAAGCATTAGAGAAATATTACATAATAGCAAGAAAGTTGAAGTCTGAGGCAGTGAAGGGCATCAAGATTGCTTTATATACAGAGAAGTTCCTGTTTATGTAGGAGGTCTTAACCTCAAAATTATCTAAAAATCTCTCATTAGTGAAGATGGCATCTCGAGGTTCTCACTTCACCAAACATCACAAATGGAATCACACGTTAATCTTTTACAATAAATTAAAGGTAATACGTTATAATAACTTTCATTTATAAATCCTTAACAAACATTATATAATTCTTAACAGATCATTCGTTAATATATATTCACAGCTAGAAATATGAGATGATGTTCTTGTTAATGTTTACTAATGAACTTACTAAACATTATCTAATGATTAACAAATGATTATTTACTGTAAATTGAAATGCTTACAAATGTCAGTAAACATTCAGTTCATATGATCTTCATTTGTTGTGTAGACCTCTGTTTATACATCTTAACAATTATTTGTTCATGGTTTTGCAGTAGCCAAACTAAAGTTGAAACTATTCATCATTTGTAAATGTTTATAAACGATTACTAATCATTTAGTATCTTTATGGGCATTGGACTTTTAACTACTGTAACAAGGTTTGTGTAAAGGGTGGCTGGTTGAGTTTAGCTAAATGCTGGCTAAAGACATACCAGATTGTAATTTTGGTGCAAAAAAAATGTTTTTTTTGCCTCAACACTCACATTAGTATCATTAAACAGGATGTTCCTTGAATCAAAAATAAACAGGAGAAAGCAAATCATTTTTTAAAAGAAAATACTTGTTCATTTATGAAAACAATATAATATAAATGGATTGAACTGTGTTCCCTTATAATCAAATTGACCCCTGTATACTGTTGACCCTTTAACCAACCCTTAAACCTACCCATACCACCAAACCCGTCCCTAAACTTACCCGTACCACACCTCAATAGCAGCAAAAGTGTTGTGCATTAACACAAGCTTTTAATCATTTTATAACATCTGTTAAAATCACTTGTAGATTCTCAATAAGTGCTTGATCATATGGAACTGAAAGTTTAATGACATTAAACATTATCTAATGTTTAATAGGTTTATTAGCAAACATTAACAAGCACATTATCTCACGTTTCTAACTCTTTGAATATATATTAACTAATGATCCATTAAGCATTATATAATGTTTGTTAATGATTTATTAATGAAAGTTATTATAAAGTGTTACCAAATTGAATATTGCAGGTGAACACACCCGCTTAGGAGATTTTAAACAGTATATACAACATAATGTAACAGTGTAGCAAGGAGAAAGTTTCCTCATGGACACAGAAGAGTTCACATACAGGTATTATACCAAAGGGAGGATCTGAACGCCTTTTGAATTGGCCTATACACATAATTCTTTGTTTTCTTTTTATTATTCTAAATTATACTAATACATCTGTAACATTTCCAGTCAGAAACATCTTGATATGACTTTCCCCCAATGTATGAATGATTCTATAAATGACTGAGCTGACATTTAGCACAGTGATTTGAAAGATTAAAAGTTACAAATATGAACTTTTATTTGTGGCTTCCTACTATATGTCACGGCGTCTTTTTTCATCTTTTAGTTTCAAACGTTGCAGAAAACTTTTAAAGTGCCCCTGCATATACAAAAAGAAGGCCACAAATGTTGCTATGCAAGCTGATGTGTCTTATATAAGGAAAACATGATGTTAATACTAACAGTATAGCTTTTAAACAAAACAAATTGAACAGTAATAAGGCTAAAAAAAAGGTAATGTAAGTTTGCTTTCAAACACTCCATTCTAGTTGTAAATAAAGTCTGTAATCACCTCTAACCATCAAAGTGTCTACTTAGTAACACATAATCAGATCATTAAAATAAAGTGCATTAATCATTTCATGAAAATCAAAGCATTAATGGAAAAAATGAATAGGTTAAAAAGCCCCCCCCCCATCATCTGCTGAGCTAATGATTTGTACAAAAGATCTGATAGGTAGAAATCCCCGTAGTATTATCAGGTAGCTGGCATTTTGTAGCTCTGTCTGAAACATGCCTTATCTTGCTCAGAGCAAACTCTGATAACTGCAACATTGTGTGCAAAGACAGAAGAACTGCACAGCTCAAGCATTTCTCATACAAAAAAGTCACGAAATGCATACTTCTCAGTCTTACCTCATTAGATAATCAGTATCTAAACACTGGTCGCACCTCACATCCCATACTTTTGCTACACGCGAAATAAACGTACTTCATTTGCTGCTGGGAAAGTAGAGCTGCGGCTGAGTATGCATTTAGACGGTATGCCAGTATTGAGACATACAACCACATCATAAAATCACCACAGGCCCCTGTCATGTACTGTTTGTGTTAGCATGACGCTAAATTCATAACTTGCATATCTTAGGTTCAACATTTTTACACATCCTGCAAATATTCACAGTATTAGTTGATCACAGTATTGGACTAAATCTTGAACTTTAACTTACAGTAAAACCTCAAAAAGCATGAACAGATTTAACCTTTTTTTTTTTTCTTTTTTTTTTTTTATACAAGTCACCTGACACAGTAAACCACCCAGGAACTTTTAGCATGTTATTTTCAACAGTCGATGATTTGGGATGCACTAATTCTACTCTTGCATACTAAATGCAGAGGTTGTGTTAACCAAAAATTGACCATAATTTTGGAAATTTGTAAATGCATGATGACGAATAATTAAAAATGCTTTCCATCATTCACACCAAGAAAGCTAACTATAAAGATAACTATAACTTCAACTATATTAGCATCCACACCAATGCACATTAACATTCTGTTTAATATAGGTGCACGCCAGTGTTGCCAATTTAGCTACTTTGTAGCTAGATTTAGCGACTTCCCCGCCCCTTTTGAGACTTTTTTCAAAAGTTTAGGGACAAATATAGCAACTGCTTGGACAAACCTTATCTAAGTTCTCATCTTGCCCACTGATCTACTTTCATCTTTATATAGATCAGTGAATTTGCCATTGTGATGTCATCTAGTGACATTTAGCTACCAGTTTTTGCTACTTTCAATTGAAAGCAGTTGGCAATACTGGTGCACGCTTTCATTTGTCATTTTAAATGCTTGAGCATGTTAAAGCAGGATGGATTCTGATTGGCTGTCAGTGTTTTATTGTTCATCAGCTGGAAAATATCTTTCTGAAAGTGATTTTAATGATATCGTTCCTGTAAATCGTTATCGTTATAGTTGTGGTGTGAATTCTCTTAAATTAAGAAAGATTTTTAGATCTTTACAGTTGACTTGATTTGAACGGGCCTTAAGGGACACTAATTATGGAATCCTGCCTCAGAGTAAAAATAAATCATTTAAAAATCAACTGTGACTTAATTTGGTGCGACTTTGAGCTATAAGTAGTCACAATTACCTTTTTTATGTATTGGTTTTTAGAATTGTATTTCTTGTAATTGTGACTTTATTTCTTGTGACCTCTAATCTCACAGTTGTAATACCATACATCCCAAAATGTAATTATATTTCTTATCTTAAACTTTATCACAGTTACCAAAGTGATTTTTTTTTACTCGTAGTCGAAAATGGCCTTCCATAGTTATAGTGATTAGAAGTAAAGGAAAAGGGAGAAAAGGTTTTAAAATGCAAAACAGACTGGGAAAAGTATGATTTGAAAAGAATAATTCATGGGATAGTGAAGTTCTTGTGACAAAGTCACATTAAAAATATTGAGTGTTACAATATTTTACTGAAATAGAGCATGACAGAAAAATACAACCCAGTCCATTAGAGTGACAGATAATTATTATTAGTAGCACAACCTCTGACTACAGAACTTAATCAGGTTAAACGCCATATCGAATTTAAGACGAATGAAAACAAGGTGTGAGGGATAGACTTACAATGTCTTTACAATGTCATGGACTGCATAAAGATCCTAGGTCAGGTATTTTTCACAACTCACAACTAGTGAGTTAATCGCATCCAAAATAAAAGTTTTGTTTACATTAATATTTTATATATAAACAAAACATATTTTTCTTAAAGGGGTCATATGATGCGATTTCAAGTTTTCCTTTCTCTTTGGAGTGTTACAAGCTCTTGGTGCAGAAGATCTGTAAAGTTGCAAAGACTAAAGTCTCAAATTCAAAGAGATACTCTTTATAAAAGTTAAGAGTCAGCCACGCCTACCTAAAACGGCTCGTTCTAACACGCCCCCACATACCTACGTCAATAGGTGGAAATATTAGCATAATGCCGCCCAAATGTGCACGCAGAGAAAGAAGGCGTGGTTCCAGGAACGCAGTAGTGTTGATGCAGCCATGTCAGGGAGACGCTGTGTGTTTCAGTGCAAAAGCAAAAACACTTTATTTGGCCTTCCGGAAGTAGATGCAATTAGGAATCATTGGTTAAGATTTATTTACAACAGAACAGTACAGTATTTGAAAAATAATGTGTTTTTTGAACATTAAAGCATGTCAACATATTCTGTTACACCAAATACACAAAATAATTATCTTTAAAATAGCATCATATGACCCCTTTAAATATATACACGCATGTGTGTGTGTGTATTTATATATACATAATAAATATACACAGTACACACCCATAATATGTAAACAAAAACTTTTGGATG